TGCAGTTTTTACTGCAAGAGTCAATAAAATGTTCTTCAAAGACAGATGTAAAGGCAATGTCTTGCTTAGTTACAAAAAATGGCTAAGTATAAGTTCTACAGTGTGACTTTTAATACCTCAGTCTCTATAATTTTACAATCTAATTGCTCTTTAAATGCAGCACCCCCCCCCCCCAAAAATAATTGATGGTATTGTCTCTTTCAGCACCTTTCTATTTATGTGTGTCTCATATTGAAATATGCTGACAGTTTGGACCAATTACAGCTCCTAATATAAACCTACCATTCATCACATATAAAACAATTAGTTTAATTAACAATATGAAAAATAAGAAGGTAACTTAGAAAAAACTTAAATTTCTAATCTTCATGCAGAGATAGATTTAAACTAACCTACATCACTCTTCCCGAAGTCATCTTTGCCATTTTAAAGACTTCATTTTGTTTTTAAACATTACTTTAGAGCAGAGTCTATTAACTTAGTACGTAACAGGATAGAAATAAAACTTAGAAAACAAATAAAAGTGCTCTACCTCTTCTGGGAATTCCTCGCTGACAAGAGACATAATTAGTGATGTCTTCCCAACTCTGGCTGCAAAAGCATTAAAAACAGGTATTAGAAAATTTGTTTTGTTACACTTAACAGTTGACCCAATCTTAAACTGGGAAGATTTTAGAAACATTTTCCAATTCACCACATTAAAAGCTTTTAAGCTATTGTTTAATAATATTAAATATGGACAACACCAATTTTCTCATAATTCTTTTATTGCAAAATTTGGCTCTATCTCCCACTTCTGCATTTCCTCCAGAAGAGAAGTGAATTCTGCTCTGCCTTACACAGAAGAATTGCCAGGTTTTAACCTTAACATACATAAGAACACTTAAACAAACAATCAAAACAAACTAGAAATGTTTTAATACAACTTCAGAAATCAAAGAACACACAGAGAAAAGCATTCAGAAATTAACTGTTTTTACAGAATTCTTGAGATTATGATTGCACTTTAGTCCTAAAATCCCAAGGATGAGAGCTGGACAAGAGGACATGAACTAAGTCTGAAGTACTTCGATTACTTTTAAAGTACAAGAGCTTAATCCCTTTATATAAATGAGCTGTCCCCCACTACAAGTGAAAAATACCCCAAACCACCAACTCTTCTAAAGTCACAGTTTTCTTAATCCAAGATGATAATCTTGGTTTCAGTACCCAGCAGCATTCAATCAAATAAATGACTTCATTTGCCTGCAAAGTTCAGACTTCTGCTATCACAACTTAGTTGCTGTTTTTGAGAAACTCTAATGTGACCATTTAAAACCAAGAGTTGGTAACTTCTCTCAGGGTTCCACTCTCTCTAAACCCTTTCATCTGTGAGTTTTCTGGTCCTCTGGAAGCCTTAAAACTACTACTGCTTTATGTGGTTTTTAGACATTTCTTAAAAACCAACATGCTCATATTCAAATATCATTTGGGACTGTCTATTTCCAACACCTCTCAGTTCAAGCAAAACTCAGTTTCACCCTGGCTGTACCAGCACCTCTGGCAGCAGGAATGTGTTACCAGCCAAGGCACTGCTCACCACCAGTCAGAGCCTGTGTCACTGCTCCTGCTGAAACCAACAGAAAATCTCCCTGGGGACAGTAGGTGTTCAGCTGATACCACTGCATTTACACCTCAATGTAACTACAGAATTCTGAATATGGAAGATGGAAGAGGTGTGATTGCACCGCTGGTTGATTTTGTGCAGGAATTGGTGTTACTGAACTGATGATCCAGTCAGAGTATACTCAACTTATCTAGGTCTATTTTTGGTACAGTAACATGTTCTGACATCCAGAAATAAAACCTTCTCTTTAACTTACCATGATGAGTAGTTGTAACAGAATTATGAAAAGAGAAGAAAAGCTGTTCTGGGGAGGAAGATTTCTGTTTTCCTTACAGAGAACAGCTGTAAACTTTTCCCCTGCAGAGCAGCATGTTGCAGGTTTCCCAATAGCAATGCAGTTGTGTTTCCAGCAAAGATACTCAAATGAGCTAAAATCCTAACTGAAACTGCCAGGCATCCTCCTGCATCAACTCCATCTTAATTTTCATCCTGACAGAATCAAAAGAGCTCTCCTACTCCACAGGGAAAACATATGAGCACTTTCCTTATAGGTAAGTAAAGTTACTAATTAGTGAAAATAGTGATATATGTTTTGCACCTGACCAAGACAGTTCTAACTTCAAACAGTGGCAGAACTCATTTTGCAGATATAGAAACCCTCTTCTTATGTCTGAAAATAGAAGATTATGTATTGTTGGTGAGTAAATGTTCAGTATTTAGAAGCTCTTGATATACTTTCTAGCGTCCTTGGGTTTTATGAAAATCCATAGGTTCTAGTGTAGAGGTTTGGGTTACTTTGTTCAAATCTAGGTCAACCCTCTGTCTTGCCCAATCTGTTCACAGTCTTAGAAATAACAGCCCAAACAGTATCAGCTGACTGGGATGAAGGAAAGCAGCACAGCACTTTATGATAATTAATTTGTCTTTTTCCTCATATATAAGTCTTTTACATCATGCTGCATAACATGCTGAACATATTCTGAAAATTACTGGCTATTAAAAGTTGATGTTTGCATATGAGGACTAAACCAACTTAAAGCTAAACTGTGGACCACTGGGGATCAAAAAGGCTGAGTTTTAGAACAGGCTTACAATAAAGAGTTCTCGGCATATTTCAGATTCTGAACCTGATGCTCTGCTGTTGCCATCTAAGAAGTTTTATATGGTCTGTATTAACTTGTGGTTTCAGACTAATAAATATACACGAGACACATGCACAAAGCAGGACTGGCACTGTAACTGACAAGTTTTACCAATTTGTAAAACAAATTTCTCCCTCCTCCTCACTAGAAGTCAAACAGAAGTGCAACATAGAGATGCTCACAATCTCTGATGTGTGCCATGTACTACACATTGCTGTATTTAAGAAACCTGTATTTTTAATATTCCCATTTGGACACACTGTAAACCTTGTTCTCAAAACGAAGTACCTGTTACACCTGTGCTGAAACTACTGCACCACCCAGCCCAAAACACAGCCTTGCCAAAGACAATGAGGTAAATCAGGCATGTATTCTAAAGAGGAATTAAACTGTGTATTCAAAGGCACAATTCCCAAACACAGTCATGCAAAACTAACCAAATACAATCTTAATGAGTTAGCTCTTCCTGCACAGTGACAGTTCCCTCAGGATTCCTCTCTAGATCACAGAGAGCCTTCCCATGCAGTACAGACAGAGCCAACCTGCACTATAAAACAACAGCAGAAACTGCACTCTAAATATATATGGGGCATTCAATCCTCAGAAAAGCTTTGTTAGCAGTACCACACTCTTAGTATAACTAGGTAATTTTACTAATAACACTTGGTAATTACTGTGTATTCTTTCCCCTCGAGGAACTTAAGCTCGCTGTGCAAACAGAACCTCCTCTGCTATTTACACCGATGAGGAGGCGAGCCCCTGCAAGCCTCATCAATTATTTGACTACCTAAGCGTGAACTTCGGGACTCAATTTTAGGAATACATGAAAAAATCCAGACCCACGGTACTTCTTTGCCATGCACCTTCGCGTGTGCTGTTTATCCAAGGTCACACAAAGTTAAAAGCAAAAAAAAGGGATATGGACTCCCTGGCCCTGTCCTGGCCACAAACCCACAACACCCGACCTACAACCACTGGGAGCACATCAGGCCACTGATTTCCAAAGTCAATAAATGGGAAACTTGCAAGTGTGATTTTCACACGGGGAAAAAAGACCAAAAAAAAAAAAAAAAAAAAAAAAAAAAAAAAAAAAAAAAAAACCAAAAGTTTAAACAGGCCGTGGCCAAACACCGGGCCGGAATTTCACCCCGGTGTCATCTCCAGGGACTTCCAAGCCGCTCAGTGCCACCAAGTGCCGGCCGTGCAGGTGCCTGGAGCAGGGAGCCGAGGGGTTCAGGCCGCGCTCACGGCAAGCCCAGTCCGGCCCTGCCCGCCCCGCGCTCCCCGGGCCCCCCGCCCGGGCCGGGCTGAACCTCGCAGCACCGGGGCGATGTGACAGCCGGCGGCCCCCTGACTTCCCCGGCCCTCCTGCATCGGCACTCACGTTCTCCCACCAGCAGGATCCGCACGTCCTTCTTCATGGCCGCGCTCGCTGCCCCCGGCCCGGGGCCGCTCACGGCGGGCGGGGCGGCGGCGGCGGCGCCGCTGCGGCCTGGGCTGCCCGGGTCCCCTCACGGAACGCGGCGGGCGCGTACGGCGGCTCGCGAGGGACCTGCCGCGCGCGGCGGCTGCGCGGCGGCTGCGCGGGGCGGCGGCTGCCCCTGAGGGCGCGGGCGGGAGGCGGCGGCGAGCGCTGAGGGACGGCCCGGGGCGCTCGGAGCGCAGCGGGATCACAGCATCACTGAGGGCGCAAAAGGCCTCCGAGATCGTCCGGTCCAACCTATGAGCCAACACCACCGTGTCAACCAGACCGCGGCACAGAGTGCCAAGTCCAGTCTTTCCCTGAACACCCCTAGGGATGGTGACCGCACCGTCCCAGTGTGTAATCACCTACTCAGGAAATTCTTCCCAATGTTCAAACAGTGACACATTGGGTTCCCATCTACACTGTGCTGTTAGGTGTGTTGTTGCTGTGATCCAAACTACAACAAATTGCCGGCCCTGGGCACTACAGCGTATGTGGGAAATTGGGGATACCCAGAGACTTCATGCTGTAGCTGTTGTTTTCCCAGATGAACCAGCAAAGGACACCTCAATACTAAGAAGGCAGCGGCTTTAGCTATCCCAGGAAAGCTACCCCAGCCTTGGAGATGCTGAAAGACACACTCCTGGGATCATACAAAACTGCATTTAGGCCATCAGAGTGGTCAGTGGCAGCAGAGTAACTCAAGGTGAGCACAGCTCTGTCAATTACTTTAGAAGACATGGCGCTTCATTCCATTAAATGAGATAAATGAATCCCACACGCTTTATTCACAATAAACTATTTATTTTGTCAATTCTGGAATGCCACAGTCTTCATGAAAAAGCCTTTGCTTCTTGGGAATGCTGTTTTCAGTTTGCGTGCATGAAGCAGAGGATATCTCAAAAATCAAGTTCTCTGTAGGTTTTGTGGGACCTCAGCTCTGATCCCCCACAGGCAACTGAGAACATCTTGCTTTGTCTCAGGTTTGCTGGCAAGACCAGATGGTCCTTCCCATGACAAAGTCCTGTTTGCAGGCCCTTTAAAAGGCACTAAAGTGACGATTTATTAGCTGGTATAAACAAACACACCTGAGCATCTGCATCCACAAGCATGCCCATGGTCACCCCAGCACCAGGACTGACAACCCTTTGGCCAATGCAAGACTAAAATATGGTTCCAGTGAAATTATGTTCTTCTGGCACACCTCCTTGAAGTGTCAGGTCCTCAAATCCAAAGCCTATTTCCTAGTTAGTGCCTACCCTAGAGGGAAAGATTTTCATACCTAATATCAGTAAAATTCTTACCCTCTGAGCATTCCTTAGTCAATCAGATCTGTCTAAAGAAAATTCACTTGACAGAAAGTAACGGCATCGTCTGTTTTCCTGTATTTTTTATATCAATGTAGGAAAAATGAGGTCAATGAGAAAGGCTATCCCCAACATTAGAACTTCCTAAGTACATTCTTTCCTAGGAATATCCTGGGAGTACTTAAAGCTGCTTGAGAAACCCACCTGACTCCCCCAAGGGGTGGTTACTGCCTTTAGCATAGGCTGGAATTGCTTTAATGAAGTATGACTAGACCAGAGCACCGTGTGAGGAGAAGCAGAGCAGACAGAAGTATCAGTTGCTGATTCCCAGGAAAGCCTGAGTAGTTATGCATTCATTCCTTGGTACACTCCTGTGCTAAATACTGAGGCTTTTATAGAAACTCTGCAGTCATTGGCAAAAGTGTCCCTGTTATCAGCAGGCTTTATCTCCTGTTTGGCTGACTTATAGTTAAAGATCCATTCCTTTCTAGAGTATACAGCCAGAAAGCAGGGTAGAGAGGATGTGAGGTATTGATTTCAAAGGTGTGCAGAAGAATTTCTTTGTCAGCGATAGAGTAAAATGACACAGTCTTCTTCTCTAGCTCCATGAAAACTCCAACCTTCAGTGGTTTGTCCTTGTGTAATAATGTTTCTTGATCCTTATGCCACACTGATAGCTGTTTTTTAGGACCCAGCCATTCTACACACCAGGAATGCTCAGTTCTTCCCAATTTGTCCCTTTTACCAATCATTCCATGAGCAACTCCAACAGCCCATCCATCACTGTCCTTGGTAATCACTTCCCAGTAGTGGCACCCAGTAGAGAAGCCCTGTGAGCACATGACTTGGCTGATGCAGAATCTTTTGGGGGATGGTTGATAACTGGTGGGATGGCTGGAAACCATCACTCTCCTGTTCTGGGCTGTGAGTGCCAAGCGCTCGTGTACTCTTGTGGGATCAAAAGTCACATCATCTGCCCCTGGAAGACAGAAAGGAAAATATTCTCACATGCAGGCAACAAGGCTGGTGTATCCCTGCTCCAAAAGAGAAATGAAACCCTAAACCTGAATCAAACCATAAACCTGAATCAAAGTCCAAAAATCCTTAACCAAGCACTATCAACTGTATCCTGGGCATACAGAAACATTTAACAGGCACAACTGTGTAAATATCCATGACAGACTCATATGCACTCCAGTGGAAAGGTGAAAGTACCCTGCACCCTAAAAGATGGGTTTTATTCCTAGCCACAATCTTTTTTTAAAAAATTACCTTTTTGTCAATAATAAATGGGATGCTTACCTTCATAAAGCTCACAGTCATATGTTCACTAGGACAAGTCGCTACATATTTTATCAACAAAAACATTTGTTTTCTGTGTTAAGCTACAGCTGTAGTAGAGGATGTTGATTGCAAAAATATTTCTGTCAAAATGATACAGAATTCAAGTAACAAGTGGAATAATTAGAGCTTAACAGCAAAGATCAGGGAGGTGCAGTAACTGCCTGTACACCAGCTCAGACTCCACAGCCAGCACAAGCTACCACACAGCTTACACAAAACAGGTTTCTTATCTCTTTTTTATCCCATATCCAGAGTCAGGTTCAATGTTACATTATGTATCAGCAACTGATTCATTCACGGCAACTCCACTGTGTTTCCATGCTTCAGTAAACAGCCACGTTTCCTGCTGTTGTTGGCAAGGACAGTTTTCTTCAGCAAATCCAGTCTCAGGGTCACCTGGATGTTGTTAAGAGTCCTGCTGGCTTGGATACTTACACTGAGAAAAGTGGCTGGAAATGGCTGGTTCAGGACACTCAGCCACAAGCTCTGGAGGTGATGAGCTGACACTTGGCTCCTGGTAGAAGTCTGGAGGCTGCACTAAATACAAAAATAAGTGACATGTTAAGGCATTTCTTCCAAATGCACACAGGAAGCATTAAAGCTTCTAAAGGAAAACACACCTTAAATAAACCCAGCCATTTATTCAAGTGCAAAACAAGGAGCTGCGTTTTTTGATGGTATAAATAGAACACGTAGGCAAACATTTTTACCTAAAATTAACAAAACACTCTTTGCTGGTGTGGTCAGAAGGGAACTGTCAGAAGAGTGAGACGGGTAAAGCAGTTGGATCATTCTATGCAGATAAAGCAGTTTCTGTCATAAAAATTTTTACAGTGTTCTTCAGTTTTTTGCCGAGTATCATGCTTCTTGTTTTATTTGCACATACATTTCATAAGCACAAAATCATTTTTTACTCTATTTGCTTGATCCACTGCCTTTAAGAAAAAGATTTCAAAATACGGGAAACTCACCTGGTGGGAGTTGCTGAGCATAATTCTCCAAGAGTAAAATTTCCAACTTTCTCTTAAGATCTTCTACAGCACTTTTGACAATATTAAGCTTTTCATCAAGTGTAATTTTATTTATTGTCAAAGGTGAGCCTTCATACATCTGTCTCTCACATAAGTCTCTCTAATAATGAAAAAAGAATCAAGGGAAAGATGTAATCAGCAGCAATTATTTAATCTCTCAGATGAGATTATAATATAAAGCCTGAGTAGAAAACGAGCAGTGATCTCTCCAAAATCTTATTCTTTTTATCAAAAGTTTCCTTTATAGGACAGCTACCTCAGCAAACCAACCTGAAATCTCATAGAAAATAGCAAAGGATATTCTTATTAAAAAATAAAAAGACTGTGTTTTCCCCAAGAAAATCAAGAATGCAACTAATTTTTCTTTTATATATATATTACAACTTCCTTAAGTGTTCATATGAATACACAAAGTTACTCTTTTTTAAACTTCCTTCTTCTTCTAGAACCAAAATCAGAAATTTGAAAATGTATTAGTGTGAGGAATGGGTAAATCTAGTTTGCCTAAATTTAGCAATTGTGGAAATCTGCATCTGAAGTTGCTCTGTTAGTCTGTGTGTAAAGTCTGTAGGAGGAAACAGCCTTTTGGAGGCTGGATTAATCTCCTTTGCAGGTGGATATGTCAAGTAGGCCAGATAACACTGAAAGTACCCATTTGTCCTCACTGCCTGTAACGGGACCCTGGATCAGGTGAATTCCAATGCAGGCACCTGTGTCTGGATCCTGGAAGTCAAATTCTGTCTCACAGCACTGCCCCACCCAGAGAGCCCCACTCCAAATTCCTGCTGGTTAACTTGCATCACTTGGCATTGTTGTTTTCAACATCAAAATGGGCTCTACACAATCTGAAGTACTTTAACTGCATCTTTTGAGGGTCCTTGATGTGTTTTCCTCAAGAAAACGGTTACAAAATATTTAATAACTTTGTGAGTTTTTAAACTTGCATACCTGTGTGTAAATACAAATTCTGGAAAATAAAAAGATCATGAAAGATCTTGACTTTAGATTTGACTGAGGACTGGCTTTCAGCACTGCACTCCCACTTCATTCCAGCTCACCAATATCCTTGGAAAAAATCTAGTTCTGAATTCCATTCCCAGCCTGTGCCTCTTTCAGTACTTTTTTCCCTCTGAATTTCTCACTCCAAACTCTCCCTGCTGACAGCAATGTCCATGGATTGGCACCAATGTCTCTATGAGAATGGTTCAGTGAGGACCTCAAAGGTGCTCTGTATGTATTCAGCTACCCCAGACAGTGAGCTTGAGTTTCTACTCATATTCTGCCACTTCATTTCATCACTTACAGTTTGGTCTTTGATGTCTGTGAGCTGGTGAATAGTCTCTTCAATTTTCTGTTGAGCAGCTTTTTGCTGTTGTTCAATGAACATCAGTGTGTTTCTCTCCTGTCTTTCAACATATTCCTTCATGCAACAGAAATCTTTAGTAATCTGGCTTTTGATCTGAGATGTATATTCCTGAAAGACAGAAAATATGGAGTTCATTGTGTGGTTAGGAAAGATGCATGGAATATGATAATTACTGTCCCATCTAATGTGCTCTTTGACTGACCCCTGCAGACCAGAAAACTTTATTCAAAGGAATGAAATACATTTGACACTATCCTGCATTACATGCAATGAGATTTGGGGCATTTGGATGATGACTATTTTATGGCCAGTGGACTCTGCTTGACAACTCAGAAAGTTCAATATTCCCTCTTATTATTATTTGTAATTTGCATCTAAGTGTACCAGAATAATTCAGGCTACTCCTGGGCTAAGCAGAAAAATGCAACAATGCACAACTCCAGTGGCTTTTGTGCCAGCCAAGACACAAATTAGTGCAGCTGACAGCATATATTCATTCTCATCAGTAAAAACAGGATTATGACAGAAGAGAAGGAAACAAAAAGGCAGATTCCAGCTCTGAGCTGGAAGGCAACCCTGCAGTCAACATCTCCAGCCCAGAACAGTGGAAAGAGAAAATTACTGTAGGTGATGAATGTACAGTGTGTACCTTTGTTCTATTGAGATCTTTCCACAACAGGTGGATGGTCTCTGCAGTTATTTCTTGTTGCTTGGAGCTCTCCTGTATCTCTTCCTCCTTTAAAGTGACACATGGGACTATTTATCTATAAAAACCTCAGAGAAAGCATGACTAGGCTAAGCTGCAGGATAATAAAAATTCTCTACATGACTTACATTAGTTAAGCAATCGACTGTTTGAGGAATCGTCTGAAAGACACAATTCTGAGTAGGAATAACCACAATTAAGTCAACATCAACAATCACCAATTAATTACATGTTCAGCTATAACTGTGAGCTTTAATATGCTCTTAGCTTGACTGAAAAAGATATATATGTGCTAAAACAATGAAGGTCAACACATTTTTCTCATCTCCTCCTCTGGGAGTCGTTTTAAGCAGAGATCTAGATCATGAACCTTTCCCAATTTGCGCCATGAAGGTGGGTGGAGCTGTAGCACCGTCGTGTCCTTTCAGCAGTCTCCAACGCAATGCTGATGCAATAAGTAACACCCAGCACAAAAGAAGTCACTTACTACTACTGTGCATCAGGTGAACACGTACAGGTATTAGCTCTCCTAATTCAGCCATGCAGCTCTCCATGTGTCAGACACCACCAAGGAGCCCCAGCACTGTCAGCCGAACCCATCTGCTCCATGTGTTACTCTGCCGTGGGACGGAAACCTGGGCTGACCCGAGGGTGCCGCTGGGTGCTGCCCCAGAACGTCGCGGGCAGGAGTCCCCGGGATTCGGGGGATGCCGCCGGGGGATGCGAACTCGGAATGTCCCGGGGTGTCGCGGAACAGCCCCAGGATGTCGGGGGGTGAAGCTCCCGGGTATCGGGGAGCCCCGGGCTGCCTCCGGCCGTACCTTCTCCCCACGTCCACGCCCCGCCGAGCTCAGGTCGTTGCAGGCAGCAGCTCCATAGGCTTCCGGCTCCTCCTGTGCTTCCAAGGTTTCCTTCAGCTCCCGCGGGATGAGGCTGAGCAGCGCGGCCAGCTCGCGGTTGGGCCGCAGGTGCTGCGGCTCGAAGGCGCGGCGGCAGAGCGGGCAGGCGGCGCGGCGCCGCCCCGCGCAGTACCGGAGGATGCAGCCCCGGCAGAAGCTGTGGCCGCAGCCCGTGACCCGCACGGGCTCCGCGAAGAGCTGCAGGCAGCAGGAGCAGTGCAGCTCCAGGACGCGCTGCAGCCTCTCGAGCTCGATGACGGCGGCCATGGCCCGGCCCCGAGCGCAGTTTCGATTTCCCCGGGCCCCTCCTCCGCCGCCGAGAGCGCCCCGGTTCTGCCCGCCCTACTTTGCTCTGTTCTGCTCCCCTCCTCTCACGTGCCTTGGTCGCGGGATTTGGAGTGCTGGTGGAAATGGACTTTGACGCACAACTCTCAAGGGCCTGGTTCACTTTCATTGACTGTCCAAAAAAGTCCCCGTTATCTGCACTATTTCATTTCCTCCGTGACTTTCCCGATTTTGTAATAGTGAAAGTTGCTGACATGGGCAGTCTGCTGACCCAGCCGGGAGAGCAGTGGCACAGCACAGCACAGCACAGTGCAGACCTTGTCTGACTGAAGCCCAGGCTACTGGAGGGACCAAACCCTTCTGAGGTAATCCCGAGCTACTCAGGTCATCTCAAAATAATAGTTAACAATGAAGACCCACATTGTTCATCATACAAGTCAAAAGCTGCTCTCTGTTGATTTCAGGAGCTGCGGGATTAGGCTGTTTAATAGAAATTGCTGAACCACCATGTCAGCTAGAATGAATGGGGTTGTGTGGGGACAGAGCCTGGAACACAGGAAGTTCATGGGAGCACATCGACACAAAAAACTGCTGCACATTGCTCAGAGCTGGACGATGAGCTGGCTGAGAAAGGCAGAATGATGAACCACCTCAATTCCTTTGCACTACTGGGTGAGTGGGGGAGGGGAGAAAGAAGGATTAGTGTCACTAATTCCTGCAAATATTGGCACTTCTCATTTCTGAAAAAAAGAACTATTTAGAGTATCTCAAGACCAGCTGGCAATTGTCAGCAGAAGGTGGAAGCCTCACCAGAAACTTGGTCTGCAAGACTTCCTCTTGATTTGCAAAATGAGGCTATCTGTAAAGAAGAATTAAATGTGTGAATGACTTGCTGCTTGGTAGAACCAGATCTGACTTTGTCTTGAGGCATGGAACACTCAGTGCTCTGTGTCAGCCAGTGCAATCTCCATCAGTTCCTGCACACAATGGTACCTGATGAGAAGGCTCCCCTCCAATACTGAACACCAGTCCTCATTCATGGAGCATTTGCAAGCAAGTCACTGGAGAAAATACTTTTAAAACTTGTTTCTGCCTTTCAATGTTCAGTATAATCAAGCTCATTAAGCTCCATCTATTCCTGGGTGAGGCAGATCAATGCATGTTCATCCTTTACTCTCAATGTATTCACTGGGGCACCATGTGGAGTTGTGCTTTGGAAAAAAATCATTAGATGTTGGATTTGCCAGTCACATAAAAGCCAAACAGTAGAGACTGCTGAAAGCAAGGTGCTGGAAGAATCTGTGTGATTTCATTACAGGAGTGATCCCATTACAGTATCCTCTACAACTTAAACTTGGCTTGGTTTTTTATTGTGCCAGAAATGTAGTGCTGTAAGAAACATTCATCCCACTCTGTTGAAAACAGCCCTGTCCTTGTTTGGCCAGAAGCTGCAGCTAGGTGGAATGCAGCTGCCTGCCTGCTCCTCCCTGTGGACATCAGGGTTGGGTGATAACTCCGTTCAAGGCATCCATCCATTCCCTCTGCTTCTTGTCATTCTCACAGATAAACACAAACTCTCTCACTGGTGTGACCAAAGTGATCACTGGCTTTTTCTTCTTCATCCAGACTTTCTGGGGCAAATAATCTCGTACTTCATATCCCTCATCCCTCCTTCCGATGAAAACCTGGCCCTGTGCAAATGCATCCTGGAAAGAAGGAAGCAGACAGCCATTAGCCAGCAGACAGTGGAGCTCCAGCAGACACTGCTCTGTCCTTTGACATGGAACAGGATCTGGGGATACACGGAGGGGAACCGATGACACGGACTGGTGACACCAGCAGGGAACACACAGAGGGGTATTGTGCACTCACAGGCATTCTTAGGAGGTGAAGGCAGGGCCCTACTGGTTGGTGGGTGCTCAGAAGGGGCAGGGAAGGACATTCCCATGGCTAAAGCAGTGCTAGGAGGCAGGATACTGAGGCTCATCTTGGCTAAGGTTACAGACACAGAGGCACTAGGCCTGGGGGAGAGGGGGCATGAACACCACAGGCAGTAGCAGTCACTTTCAGAAGATCTTTCTCACAGCCACTGTACAGGCCAGAGCTCCCAACCAGCTCAGCTTCAGAGACATCCTTTGGCAAGGGAGATGGGCTCTTGAGGCTGGGCCTGCTCCAGTCTGGCACAGCCACTGGAAAAGGTGGACGAGAACAGACCCTTTCTCCCCACGTGCTTCCCACAAAGGGGCTGTTGAACAAAGAATACTCCTCTTACCAGTGGATTTTTAAAGTATAGCAGGTTCCTTTCCTGAGAATCCAAGCAGAACCAGCGTACCTTAAAGGCCTCCTTCTGCTGCAAGGAAATGGTAGAAATTATTTAAAGACCCAAGTCTCAAAGTGGACTTTGGTCTATTCAAATCCCAGGACCACTTAAGTGACTTGGAGCTGGAGTTCAGTTTCCTTCATCCCTGCAACTTATAAAAGAACTGTTGTGTGCATCCCTCAGCTCTCTCTTCTCCCTGGGCTCAAAATATAGATGAGATATGACAATCTGGGCAGGGAAGTAATCCATTTAACAGGAATAAAGAAGTTGCATGAAATGGATTGAAAGCACTGCAGAGAACCCGAGTGGTGATACTGAAGAGAGTGAGCAATCAATTTCAACAATCTGATCAGGGAGGTTGTCCCTGGAATTTTGGGTGTACAATACTAGTTGCTTTTTATCAGCTAATTCCATCAGCTACACTTACCTGACCGTTCCTGAGCTATTAATTGCTCCAGGCTGAACTGAAGAGGCCTCTTCTAGGACTCAACTCAGTTTAAGCAGAATTTAGGCCTCAAAAGATAAACACAAAATCTTTCATGCTCTGTGCAAGTACCTGCAGAAGAGGTGTTGGCACACTGGCACAAGCTGGGCCAAAACACAGCATATTCAGTATCAGCATTGCACTGCTGAACTTTATAATGGGACTGGCTCATGGTTCACTCAGAGGAGAGCAAAGCAAGAAGTGGCTGTGTTCAAACAAGACCTCAAATCTTTTATCTCCTCCAGCAGTTCTGCTGTTCTGTTCCAAGAGTATTGGCCCAAACACTTCCCACAATACAACAAACCAAACTATTGGCTTCACTGTAGAGAAATTTGCTCAAATAACACTTTGCTGCTCTAAGTAGATGTGACTTAAGTGGAACTGACTCTAAGTGAAACAGAGAAGTGTGGGGGGGGTAGCACATCATGTTCTGCTGTGGCAGGAGCTGCAGTTAGCAGATACAGCAATCCATGTGGTTTTGTGTAACAGCACTTTGCATGTCCATTGACAGCTAATCCAACTTGCTTACTCTTTAAAGACTCTTCTTCACGATCTTATTTTCCACACAAAATAAAACATGGTCCCAAAGAACATGACAGATTTGAATACAATGTCTTTTATCAACTCAGGAAGCAGAGAGTCACTGAGCAAACAATTTACAAATCGGGATCATTGAACTATGAAATATTCGCTATCTGGAATGATCCTGTTTGTGTAACGCCAAGTATGCACTTACTTTTGGTCCTGTTTTCTCCATATATCCTTCTTTGACGAAATTTCTTGTGATCCTGGGTATGAGCTAGGAGAACACAAACACAAAAAAGTCTGTGTCTGTCCCAACTGAAACCAGCACAGGCTGTCTCATTCAAAACTGCATTTCTGCTCTGTTTTTGTGAAAGTTAATCACCATCAATTGTGGCTTTTGAGGTCTGGGATTTTTTTGTCTGCTAGGTAAAGGGAAGTCTGAAGTAAGAAGGAACATAACATTTTTGACAGATTACACTGTATAAGAATGACATAGAGACTTTAAGGCCTTAAATGCTGACCAAGTTTTTGCATGTTATTCAGTTTGGCCTTTCCTTCTACCTCTTCTGTCCATTCCCTGGACCTAAGTGCTACTTTTTAAACATCTGACTCTGTCAGAAGAAGTGAGAAAATGTTTTCCCATGCTATATTTGGCTAGACAGCTTCAAGCCCTGTTCAGTTCTCACCTCAGGCTCAGGGACATTTGGGAAGGTTGTTCTGAGGTAATGGTAACGTGCTGCCCGAATAGCATTGAACCAGTCAACAATCTCCTGGGAAAGCAGCAAACACAAACGTGAAGATCAACAAGAGAAAGAGCACTGCTTCTCCAAAATGCCTTTCTCCTTCCCGGTCACCTCTTTGTAAAGAGGTACTTTCTCCTCATGGGGCAGAGAGAGTCAGCGATTTGTCTCAGACACCTGAAAAACATTGACCCTTGAAAATAATTTAAGAATGCCCCTCCTGGGAGGAGGTCTCAGCATGGACAGTCACCCAAGTCTGTATACACAGGTTTTTTCAGTTGATTCACTTATGGGTTGTTTAAAAACCTCTGTACCTGGAAAGAGACAAGAACTCTGTTCAAGGAAGAAACAGAAATCTTAACAACATCTATAGAGATACTTAAAAATTATCATTACTGTCTTGGAAATATTGTAAAACAATATTCTCTATGCGTGTCAAGAATTTAACCATGAAATTGTGTAAAACCACAAGGCAGTTACCTTACAGGTGCATGCATCCATGCACCACCACTTAAGACTATCCTAAAGGTGAACTTGAACATATACCCAAACAGAAAAGGAGCAAGATGCTACAGTTATCAAATTTTGCAACTTCCTAAATTCTACAAGTCTTAGTGATGCCAAGTAAAACCAGATCTTAGAGACGCAGTAACTCTTCCAAAATATATATCCAACATCTTAAGCATCTTGCTTACTCCCAATCTCCATTATATTCACCTTTCCACTTTCGTGATAGACAAAAAGGTTCCTTGTTTGACCATCTGTGATGTATGTGATCTGCAGCCCATGACTGTGTCCTGTTTTCTCCACCTGGAACATGGCATTCAGAGTCTCAACGCTGATAACGGCTTTTGGACCTTTGGACTGTGAATGAAAAGCATCACTGTATTAAAGTGCTCTTTAATACAATTAAATATAAATGTTGCAGGATAGACCAGCTGTATGAGACCTAGATCCCTACTGAATAGAAAGCAGACATCCTAAAATATCTGAATATTGGATATGCCTGAAACATAAAGCCTTAACTACTTGTAACATAAAACCACTTACAAAGATTCCTTCACAAATGCTGGGTCACTGCTAAAGAGGGCTGGGTCTGCATTGCAAGGGATAGGTTTATCTCAGCCTCTGAGTTAGAGAACAGTCTCTCACAGAAAGGAGTTGTGTTGAGAACCCTGCTGCAGGAGCTGATGAGAGGATATTTTGGTAATGTTAGAGGCAACAACTGCCAGCAGATCTCTTCTTTGTCTTGCTATTCAACTGCCAGTACCCATTTCCTTTGTTCACTAAGCAAAAGGAGGCTGCAGGGTTGAGATAAGGGATGAGAAAAACAACTAAATCCAAAATTGCCCAATATACCATATTTGTTAATTGAGAAACATGTGCACTCCTCTAAGCACAGGCTGGCCACAAAACTAGAAATAAAGCTACTTGTACTGGTTTTGCCCACAAAGAGCAAGGTCTGAGGGTGGGTGTTGACCTGCTACCTATGGCCAGTTCAGGCTGAAGAACTCACTTCTTTGCTGTAGTACTTCATCACCCCTTCCCTTGCTGACAGGAGAAATTGCCTCTTCTGAAACTGTCTGTGTCCCTTCCCAAGCTTCCAGAGGCATCCTTCACGGCTGCCTGCAAACCAGACAAGAAGTGTCAGAGAAGGGTGGCACAAGGGCAAGATTATTTAGCTGAGGGTGATGTGGCAGAGTTTCAAGCCTCTTCTCCATCTGAGAATTTTCCCCTCATGAAAACACAAGTGGAAGAAATAGAGAACAGTAAGATCTGAATATACCCTTGCACTTGTGTAAGTGCCTTTTCTTAGGAGTTTCTTCTCAAAGCTAGACTCAAAGAAGTGACTACACATCCAGCAGTTCAAATGTGACAAGCCAACCTTAGAGATCTTCAAAGCTGCCAGCAGAACACTGTGCTGTTGGCCTTGAGGCTGAGACCTCCCTGACAAACCTTTTACCTGCAGAACAGGGATCATGGCAGACTCCAGTGTCAAGAAATTCCCCACGCTCATATTTAGCTCTAATCCACTGCTGTCTTAAAACCCTGGAAGAGGAAAACATAGATAAAGCTGATCTGTCTCTACTCTGGTTTCAGCAGCCATCTAGGGAGACCTGAAAAGGAAGCAAATGTAAAGGTCTGCAGCAGTGAATACACCATCAACTTACAGGCAGTCATGGGACTTGGGGATGTAATAGTATGGAGGGACCTTTGCCTCATATTTAGCTTTGGCCCAGAGATTCCCGTGATTCCTCATAAACTGAAATACAAAATAAATTACAGTTAGGTGTGCAACAGCAAATCAACAGCATGTCATGAATATAGAATGAGACTGCACTTTTTGCTGAGTCTTGCCATAACTCTCAGTGTGTATTTAGATACATTTATAAATTCCCTTTAGCATTCTAGTTTGCTGGTTTTAGGTGAATGCACCTTTTTCAGTATTTACAGTTCTGAACCATGTGTGAAGGAATACAAACTGTGGTTCTTGATGAAAAGAACAAAAGAAAGTTAGGAGAAAATTTATTTATGATCTCCCCATTCCTTCATCTCCAAGATATTAACTGTGATTGCATTAATAACACAATTCAACTGAATGATGAGAGGGTGAACCAATATTTATGTTGCTTTCTTAATTGAATATACTACTGGGAAATATTTGTGGGTTTCTAAGCCACAGGGAGAAGTTACTGTGTATCTAAAAATACACACCACAAAGTGTTAGGAACATGGTCACCTATCGGTGACCTATCAGCGTAATTTGATTGAGCAGGTAATAAAAAACCCCTGAAGTTACCCATGCAGTTGGCTTGGCTCTGTGTGGCTCTGTTGCACTGTCCTTGCTGGGTGGCACAGGAATTACATGGCAGATATGGTTAGGAAATGTGGAGAATTACTGCTTTTTCCTCTGTACCTCTATTAAATTGCTCTCCCAGAAGTCAAGCCGAAGGGATTTGACTCTGCTGATTTCGGGGAGATTGCGATGAATTCCAGAACAATTCAAACAAATAAATATTCCAAGTTTGTAAGAAGCCCACTCTGGATCTAGATAAAACCACAAAGAATCAATTAATACACACGAAAATGCACGGCCACTGGCAAGGGTAAAAACCCACATCTGATGCACAGCCTAGGCTTCACACCCAGTAGATACCTCGAATCCCACCCCACTGTTTATGGCTGTCACTTCAGTGTGTTGAGGGGAACAATACCTGCTTTCCCCAGTGAATGATGTGGCCCCTGCGTTTGTATATTATATTTAAAATTAAAATCAAGGTGACTGTGCAGGCAGGTGAGTGGTGATGGAAAAGCTCAGCTAATTATTAGTTCTGCATGAAAAGTTGCAGCTGCTGAATTAATAGCGGAAGGAAAGTGCCGACAGCTGAGCACTATTCAGAGTACAACGGAGTACAGCCACCTACAGCGAGGACTCTGTCCGCTGCCCGCAAAGGCTCCTGCTCTTGCCTGCTGCTACATCTCCTGAAGCAGCTTTGACAGGTGCATCCGTATAGGCATTGAGTGTTCTGGCAAGACCATTTCCTTGGATTGCGCCATCGCCCACTTCTCCCTATCACGCTAAACAGAAGCAACTTGACGCCTTCTCCAGCTCCCGTTGGCTCCCGCCTGACCCACCCGAACGGGCACTGGCGCCAGCGCGGCGCGGGGGCTCCGCCGGGTTTTCCACGCTTTTCTCTGCCTCTTGCGCAGAGACATTCCCCGAGCTGAAAATCCACTCTATGCATCCTCCTCCACCTGCAGCCTCATGCCCTGTCCACGAATAACCCGGGGAAGCGCCTGGTGCCGAGGTTGCTCCCCGGCCCCCGCGCGGGGCTCCCCGAGAGCCGTGTCCCGGAGCGGCGGCGCCGCGGGACCGGCCCGCAGCCGTCCTGCGGCACTCGGAGCGAGGGGCGCGGCCGGTCCCTCGTCACGGCCGCTGTCCGCTCGGGAGCGGCGCCGGGGCCGGAGGGGAGCTGCCCGGCGGAGCCGCCTCACCTGGCTCCCCGCAGTCGGCGCAGCGATCGTTACCGGTCCCGGCCGCCCTCTGCAGCTCCAGCAGCAGCGCCTTGTTGCGGTCGTAGTCCATCGCCGCCGGTGCCCGGCGCGGAGTCTGCGGGAGGCTCGGCCCAGCCGGGAAATGAAGAACTGGAACGGCCCCGGCGCCCGGGACGCCCCGTCCCCTCCTCCTGCAGGCGGTTCGGAGCGCGCGTTCCCCCCTGCCCGGCCCGCGAGCACCCGCCCAGCGTCCCCACCCTGGCCCGGTCCCCGGCAGCTTTCCCGGAACGAGTCCGAAGTTCCTGCGCTGGCACTTCATTAGTAAGACGGGTCTGTGTCCAGGAGGGCTCGTCCGCGCACCTCCGGGTTCGCCCCAGCCCCATCTCTGTTAAAAAAGTAACTTTACAAAGCTTGCTGGGGGAACAGAACGGCAGTCGCGCCCCAGATATCGACCGAAAAAGCAGCGGCACCGCCGGGGCAGGTGAGTCCCGCTCTCCCAGCGCAGCTCTGCCCCACTGCGAGTGCTCAGCACAGGCTCTGAGGGAGCTCGGTGACACCAAGCACTGCCAGAAAAACTCTGCCCACATAGCTCAACACACGGACAATACAGCATTTCAACCCTACTGAAAATGTTCCTCTTCCATGATAAAGCAAATGCCAAAAAATCGTGCCTTCATATTCAGTTCATCTAAGACAAAAGACAAAGACAAAAATTTGAGACAAAGATTTTCAAGACGGTTAATTAATTCAGAAAAAGATTAAGAGGGATTCAAATATTTTTCTAGTTTTGGGTTAATTTAATTTGCATTCCTAATTTGCACTGCTATAGTGCAGCACTATAATACACAATGCTTCTTTAGTAAAGTTCATCTACAATCTTGTAAAAACACTATAATTTTGTAGATGACTAAACAATCAGGAGACATGTATTAGCAGTTCCAAATACTGAAACCTTTACTCCATCTCCTAGGTAGGTACTAAATAGTATTAGGCCTTTTAATTTGTAACTATTGTGAAGTTATGAAATACACACCAGCAGAATATCTGAAAAAGTTGTTCAGCTACTTACACAGAATCTCTTTTCAGCATTCCCCCTCTAGGAACTGTTGCATATTGGAATGTAAACGAAGACAACTTTCCCCAGGTAATCTTGCAAGCCATACACCAAAGCTTTTTGCTAGCTTAATTTTTGTAGTGTCCTTATAACTCCTGTGGAATAAAAGGAACATTTTGTATGACATTTGGGAGTGGTTATTTTTATATATTTTTTTTTCACAAAGACTTTAGAGTCTTGCTCTTGAAGGGGTCCTTCCTCTTCCAACTTCTATTCTGTAGTAGCATTAACACAGTCTAAGCCTTTGGGTCAATCTTGCAACCATAACTGCTTTTTTCTATATTATTCATGGGATGGTAGAATGTCATCCTAATTTACATAATGGAAAGCAATATTGGAATGACAGTAAAGAGAAAGAAAAGCTTGAAACTTGGTTGAGATTTCCCCAAGAACAAGGTTGTTTGTTTTGCTTTTAAGTTTCTGTATACCTATTAACAACTGCTGCTTAAATGGGAGAGAGTCATTGTGAAACTCCAGGGTTGTTTTTACTTCTGATTTCAAGACACAGAAGTTAGCTGGAGGGGCAGTACATAAAGGACTACCCAGGGCCCAAACCATTGCAGGAAAATATTTTGCATCAAAAGTAGGCGAATTTCACAGTACTGGAATGGAGCTTGTGAAGCATTTCCTTCTAAGCAGAGTTAGTCAAAACCAGCCCCAGGTCCCTCTTCCTCAAGCCCGTCCCTCCTGGAAACTTGCTTTATTCTAGCATACAAAAGATGCCCATACCTGATGCATAAAAATCCAAAGGTGCTAATTTTATCAGAACTCAAATCATCACACAGAGATTATCTTTCATTCAGAGTAGCTTGAGGTGATTTCATGTGGTAAATATCTGATCAAGAAGGGAAATACTTGAATTCCACCTTACCTTGTGGACAGCACAGCAGATTCTGTAAACAACTTCTTAAGGCACTAATTAAAACCAGAGAGCTGACTTCAAAAGAAGATAAATTGGCTCTCACTGCTTTCTGATTTGGGTCTTTCAAATAATCCCTGAATTTCCTAAAATACTACTACTTTATAGGAATTGTTTCTGATTTATGTAGGTCTTCACTGTAATCTAATTAGATTGATAGTGCCTTTAGAAACAGTGAACAGATTCATTTTTACTTTATTATGTTAAAAAAATTAAAATATGTATTTATTTTTACAAATCATACAGGAGAAGCATAGACTGTTGATACAAAAACTCAAGCCATGAAGATTTTATCAGCCACCACTATTTTTTTTAATAATTCTGGACTATGGAAAAAATAAACTATAAAGATGATCTACAATGCAGAAGCTTAAAATAATTTCACTGTTTCCATAAATATTTCTAATTCCTGAACATCTTTAAAACATGAAAAATGTAAGATGAGACCAGAACTAGCAAATGTCCTTCCTTATTTTTACAGACATGTTGAGGTAAGTGGAGCACCACTGCATGGCAGCAGTCTGACTCAGTTTGAGGAACAGGAACAGTCCAACTGCAAAGAAAAGGCAGGAAAGTACATGGTTGAACTAACTCCAGTTTTAAAATCCTTTAAAAAATATGTTTCAGGAGTTTTACCTTTCATGCAACAGAAACATTGAGATTGTAGCAAAGTCTCACAAATTTATTGTAGTATAAAAACTGATTCAATTACAAATAATCAAGCTTAAGTCTTGTCAAGTACAAAAAAGAAGCTTAAGAATAGAACACAATATACAAGACTAGAAGTAGTTAAATATTCCTGTACCCAAATAACACTGAAATAATTGTTATTTACAAAATCTTGCCTAAATCTCTTGAGACCATGTTGAGCTACAGTAATTTCTCTACCTTTTTAGGAGAGTAACATGCAGATCTGACAGCTGTAAACAATGAAAGGAATGTATACAAATATATGTACATTGAAGCATAGTGCTTTGTAAGGACTTTGTTCCCTGTGGTTGAAGTGAAGAATTGGTTTTAGTCATTTAGACTTTGAAGGACTTGTTGCATCCTCTCTGTGCCCCCTCCCACCTCAAGTTATTTATTACTTTGACTGCAAATTCAGAAACAAACTTATTTGAACAAAACAGTCTCCTCAGAAAACAGCAACTTTGCTGTGGAAGTTGTCACAGTTGGTTGTTACAAAAGGATTTCTTGCTATGTGATCCACAAATTAGAGAGAAAGAGAGCAAGAAGTCCCCACTGAACAGTTTGTGCATTTAATGTTATGAATGCCCTTACTGGACAAGCACCAAACAAACCCACATTTCAGCTGTGGAGAGCAGTATAATGACAATAGATATATACATTATTTTAAATAATTATAAAAATTCAATATACAAATGGCTCTGAATATACAATAATGTGGTAATTTAAAAAACCCAAACAAGCTATGGTGAGAATACCACCATTAGGCACAAAGTATATCTGGTGTTGGCAATTTTAAGGAAAGTCCAAAGACAGACCATTTATCGTTTGTCTGGGTATTTCAAGATGAATCCCTTCAAGATAATGCAAGAACCTATTAAAAAAAAGTAAAAATTATTGTTAAGGGAACAAAGTTATTTCCAAATAAAAGGCAACACTTTTATTATTTTGAGAGACAAATGTCCACTTTCTTTGCCTAGAATTACTTGACAAAATATTTTATTAAAATCCTTAACTACCTTCCATAATGAAATGTAGCAAGATTTAGGAAAACCCAAACTTACCTTCTTTTAGCCTTCCCTTGCTCTTTAAGCTTCTCAGACCTACAGATACTGCGGAGAGTGGGGAGGTATTCAAGGGTACTGGCTTGCTTATTGCCCAGGTTTAAAGGACTTCTGGAAAATACAGTTTTGATGACAGCCAGCCTCTTCTGTGCTTTTTTGTAAGTGCTAAAACAGAGAATGAAGCTTTATTTTTTCTTATACAAGAACGTGCACTGATGATTTTATTTCTTTAGGATGAAAGACACTGGTATAAAACTCCATTAAATTGATGTCCAGAACTGCATCCCAATGGATCAGATGTCTGCAGCTTCTAATTGCGTGCTGCTTACACAGCATCACAAAGCTGCACCTGGACAGAAACATGAGGGCCAGCAGTTTGTTTGGCCAAAGCTCTTGTCTCAATCAGGAGTCTGATCTGGTGAGCTCTTCAGTCTAGATTCAGATGTGAGGTTTAGGACAACCAAAACTGAAAGCATCTGTGGTCTTCAAAAATAAAAAACATTATGCAATTGGTATTTGCCAGAATATCAGTGTAAGGTCCAGGTGTCTAACCCATGACATAAACCTGGTCACAGGATGCCTGGTCAGATCCATTCTGCCATTGCTCCTCTGGGTACTGACTTACAGAAGAAAAGCTCTAAGCCATTTTCCTGTTCAGATTTCTGAATGGCTAAGTACCCATTGTGCCAATTTTACCTATGATGACTTGTTTATGTTAAAAACAATGTTTCATGCTCACACTTGAGAGTATTCTTTGGTCTTTTACAATGTATTAAAGGTTATTCTTTGTTAGCATAAATTATTACAAAGAATTTACTTTGGATTTTGTTAGGTTTTCATCAAGCAACACCTACCAACACACTTAACATGAGTTCAGTATGAGCAGGTGACAAATTTACATGTTTGGTACTTGCAGAATCCCATCTGTCTTGAAAAAGCCATTCCTTTAGGGTTCTGTTATTCTTTTGGGGGTGGTAGTGCTGTTTGTCCATTTTTAAAGTAACTAGACTAAGGCCACCATTCCTTAACAACATTAGAGTCAGGCTGTTCAAGAACAGTCAATCTTACAGATTGACAAGAAGTTAATTTAAGGTTGTAAAAGCACAAAGAACAATATATTGCAGTGTTTTGAGACACACTGACAACAGTCATTGTGGTATGAATCTTTATACATCAAATCTGAAACAGTCCTACACCCTGTGAAATGCTCTTCTTGACAAATTACTGCATTACACTCCAGAAATATTAACAAAGTCTTACCTTGAATCAGGTGCCTGACTGAAGGATATGCAGTTCCTTGTGTTTGAGACAGGCAAAGTAAGTCCCTCCAGCTGATCACTTTCAGGTGTTTTACTGGTAGTTGAAAAGGATTCCAAATTTTGTGAAATATTAACAGAACTTTTAGTGAAGCTGAGTGCTTCAATAGCTGCCTTTATTTCACTACAGATCTGGGAACTCCACCAATCAGTATTTTCTATACTGAATTCATCACAAAGACCATTTCTGATTTTGGCATTTGTCCAATGAAATTCTTCACTTTTAGAAAACTCCAGTGGTTCCCTGGTGTTAGTTTTTACACAGCAATCCAGGAAGGACATGTTTTCCACAAACTCAGTCAGTGAATTCAGGC